GACTGCCATGTCTTTCTTCTGAGGGGCAGCTGCCCACCTTTCCATAAGTGGCCAAGCACTCGACCACTGTGCTGACAAGACTCCTTATTGAATATAGAAAGTTAAAAGAGAATTCTCATTATATGGACTCTAAGAGTTTCACTAGCTCCACTCAGGATATTTCCATTTTGATTTATTGTCATCCCTTATAAAACTATAAGCAGTGACAGGGGTAGTACTTATCATTGAAATAAATGGCTTATAAAATCATGATGCTTTCTTAAAATACAGATAAACACATTTGGCAATTGAAATATATCCAGTAGTTTCAAAGAAAAAAGAATTGGCCATCTGCTTCCATAATAATTACAGCCAAGAAAATCCCATAAGGTGGTTCTACTTTGTCGGATGAGGTCACTATGAGTCTAAACTTGACTCAACCACAGCTAGAAATAACAATATAATTTTAAAATACATTAATAAAATGATAAAGACAAACTGACCATAACTGAATATTTCCTTAGAATAGAAAAAGTAATAAAATATTTTAAAACTATAAACATAGTGATAAAAGTCATAAATAACACAAAATCATTAAATATAATATTTTAATTAATTAAGATACAACTACAGCTCTGGTAGCATAGTGGCTAAGACACTTGCCTGCTAACCAGACGGCTGGCGGTTCAAACCCACCAGCCACTCCTCGGAAGGAAGGTTGGGCAATCCTACTTCCGTAGTGATACTGCCTCAGAAACCCAAGGAGGGGTCGCTATGAGTCGGGACCGACTCGACGGCACATAACAACAACAACAACAACAACATCTAAAGAGCCTGGGTGGTGGATGTTTTCCAGAACATATATCATTATTTAATGACACATCTCATTGCTTTTGAGCTGTACAAATATACTCACTAAATAACAAATTAATTCTTCTGATCTCAGTTTCCCCTTAGCTGCCATCTAGAAATATCAGCATATCCTCTAATGCAAGCTGGTACTTGTTGTGGTAGTTAAGGTTATGTGTCATCTTTTGGACTGGCTGGGCAGCTACATGTAAGTATTCCCTATGATGAGATTGGTGAAAACTCCATGGTGGAATCTACTGGAACAGCTGAGTAGCTGCCTCAGGGATGTAGTCTGCTTCCAGTGTATAAGGAGCAGTTTTGAGAAAGATCTCTGCAGCTTTTTAGCATGCTTGGAACCTGCACGTAGCCGAGTTTTCATTCAGTAGCCTGCCATGTTTCCTGCCGACCTTGGAACTGTCTCTGGACTTGAACCATGGCCTGACGTGTTGTTTGATAATACTGGGACTGTGCCATTTTGTATCCAGTTTGGGCTTGTTAGCCTCAGCAGGCAGCAGCTGCCTGAGTGAAGAGACACACCCAGCTCCAGTGGGCCAGGAGCAACAGGCAGAGCTGAAGCCCAAGTTCGAGGGGTTTCACCCAGCCCTAGAGCTTGGAATTTTGAACTTGGACTTACAACCTCCAAAACTGGGAAAGAATAAACTCCTGTTTGTTAAAGCATCCACCTGTGGTATTTCTGTTAGCACAGCATGAAGTAACCAAAACATTAGGCGAGGTGCAGCAGAGGTGAATGAAGTTACTTAATTGACTGTGGTTAAAATGCATTTCTTTCCTACCTCTTCCAAGACATGTCACTTTGTGAGGCATCCTGGGGGCAGAGGGGCTAAGCACTTGGCTGTGAATTGGTGGTTCAAACCCGTCAGTCACTCTATGGGAGAAGGATGTGGCAGTCTACTCCAGTAAAGATTCAGAGCCTTGGAAACCCTGTGGGACAGTTCTACTCTTTTCCATAGAGTCATTATGAATCAGAAGTGACTGTGGACAAGGATTTGTCATTATGTGACTGCATTTCTAAGGCCCCACCCAGGGCTTTAAT